AGTGGATTTAAAGCAACTAAAGTCAAAAAAGACAAAGATGGACACTTCATATTGGTCAAGGGAAAAATACAACAAGAAGACATTTCAATTCTAAATATTTATGCACCCAACTTAAACGCTTCCAGATTCTTGAAACAGACCTTAATTAGTTTGAACAATATGATATCCTTTAACATCATAATAACAGGGGACATTAACACTACTCTTACAGAGCTGAACTGATCCTCTAAACAGAAATTAAACAAAGATATGAGGGACTTAAGGGAGACCATAGAACAACTGTGCTTGATAGATGTATTATACAGAATACTCCATCCCCAAACTAAAAATATACAGGCTTCTCATTGGTCCGTGGAACATTCTCCAAAATTGATCATGTCCTAAGACACAAAACAAACCTCAACAGAATCAAAAGAATTACAATTTTACCTTGTATCTTCTTAGACTATAAGGCATTAAAGGTGGAACTCAACTCCAACAAAAACATTCAACCCCACACAAAGGCATGAAAATTAAACAACCTTATGCTGAATGACAGTTGGGTGCAGAAAGAAATAAAAGAGGAAATCATTAAATTCCTTGAGTATAACAACAATGAAGACACAAGCTACCAAAGCCTGTGGGATACAGCAAAAGCAGTCCTAAGAGGAAAATTTATTGCTTTAGATGCCTACATCTGAAAAATAGAAAGAGAGCACATCAACAAACTCACCAAGCCATCTTATGGAATTGGAAAAAGAAGAACAATCTAAGCCTAAACCTAGCAGAAGAAAAGAAATATCCAAAATTAAATCAGAGATTAATGAAACTGAAAACAAAAGAATCATTCCGAAAATTAATGAAACAAAGAGTCAGTTTTTTTATAAAATAAATAAAATAGATAAACCTTTGGCTAGACTTACTAGAAACAGAAAAGTAAAATTTCTAGTAACCTCAATCAGAAATGATAAATGGGAAATAACAACAGATGCAACAGTGATACAAGAGATTATCTGCGAATACTACAAGAAACTCTATGCCCAGAAATTTGACAATATGAAGGAAATGGATCAATATTTGGAATCACACCCTTTCCCTATACTTAGCCAGGAAGAAACAGATCTCCTGAACAGACCAATTTCAAGCATGGAGATCAAAGAAATAATAAAAAATCTCCCAATAAAAAAATGCCCTAGTCTGGATAGCTTCATACCAGAATTCTATCAAATCTTCAAGGAAGAGCTTATTCCCATACTGTAGAAATTATTCCAAAAAATTGAGAAGGAAGGAATCTTTCCCAACACATTCCATGAAGCAAACATCACCCTGATACCAAAACCAGGAAAAGACCCAACTAAAAAGGAGAACTTCACACAAATTTCACTAATGAATATAGATGCAAAAATTCTCAACAAAATCCTAGCCAATAGATTATAGCTTATTATCAAAAAGTCATACACAATGATCAAGTAGGTTTCATCCCAGGGATGCAAGGCTGGTTTAACATACACAAGTATATAAATGTTATTCACTGTATTAACAGAAGCAAAAATAAAGACCATATGATCCTCTCAATAAATGCAGAAAAAAGCATTCAATAAAATTTAGCATCCTTTTCTAATAAGAACACTGAAGAGTATAGGCACAAGTGGCACATTTCTTAAACTGATGGAAGCTATCTATGACAAACCCACAGCTAATATTTTACTGAATGGAGTAAAACTGAAAGCTTTTCCACTTAGAACTGGAACCAGATGAAGTTGTCCTCTATTGCCACTACTATTCAACATAGTGTTGGAAGTTCTAGCCAATATAGTCAGGCAAGAGAAGGAAATACAGGGCATCCATATGGGAGCACAGAAGGTCAAACTTTCTCTCTTTGCTGACGACATGATCTTATACTTAGAGAACCCCGAAGACTCAACCACAAGACTCCTGGAAGTCATAAAAAAATTCAATAATGTCACAAAAAAAACTCAGAAATGTCTCAAGATATAAAATCAATGTCCACAAATCAGTTGGCTTTGTATATGCCAATAACAGCCAAGATGAGAGGCTAACAAAGGACACAACTCCCTTCACCATAGCTTCAAAGAAAATGAGATACTTAGGAATATACCTAACAAAGGAGGTGAAGGACCTCTATAAAGAAAATTATGAAACCCTAAGAAAAGAAATAGCAGAGGATATTAACAAATGGAAGAACATACCATGCTCATGGTTGGGAAGAATCAATATTGTTAAAATGTCTATACTTCCCAAAGCAATCTACAGATTCAATGCCATCCCTATTAAAACACCAACATCGTACTTTCAAGACTTGGCAAAAATAATTCTTCATTTTGTATGGAACCAGAAAAAATACCATATAGGTAAGGCAGTTCTTAGTAATAAAAACAAAGCCTTGGGCATCAGGATACCAGACTTCAGGCTGTAGTACAAGGCATAGTGGTCAAATCAGCATGGTAGTGACACAAAAATAGAGACACAGACATTTGGAATCGAACAGAAAACCAGGAAATGAAACTAACATCTTACAGTCACTTAATCTTTGATAAACCGAATAAGAACATACACTGGGGGAAAGAATTCCTTTTCAATAAATGGTACTTGGAGAACCGGATATCCACATGTAAAAGACTGATACTGGACCCTTTCTCCACTCACAAAAATCGATTCAAGTTGAATAAAAGACCTAAATTTAAGGCAGAAAATAATAAAAATCCTCAAAGAAAGCAGCCTGGGGAAAGATTTTATGAAGAAGATGTCCATGGCAATTGCAACAACAAAAATAAACAAATGGGACTTAATGAAACTGAAAAGCTTCTGTACAACAAAGGAGACAATAACCAAACCAAACAGACAACCTACACAATGGGAAAGGGTATTTGCATATTTTGAATCAGAAACTTGATACCTAAGATCTAGAGAACTCAAATTAGTCCACATGAAAAAAGCCAACAATCCCACATATCAATGGGCAAGAGACATGAATAGAACCTTCTCTAAAGAAGACAGATGGCTAGCAAACATGAAAAAATACTAATCGTCTCTAATGATTAGAGAAACGCAACCAAAACCACCCTGAGATACCATCTAACCCCAGCGAGAATGGCCCATATCACAAAATCTCAAAACTGCAGATGTTGACATAGATGTGGAGAGAAGGGAACACTTTTACATTACTGGTGGGACTGCAAACTAATACAACCTTTTTGGAAGGAAATATGGCAAACTCTCAAAGAACTCAAGCTAAAGAACTCTCAAAAAACTCAAACTCTCATTTGATCCTGCAATACCATTACTGGGCATCTACCTAGAAGGAAAAAAAATCCTTTTACCCTAAGAACATTTGCACTAGGATGTTTATCACAGCTCAATTTACAATCACCAAAATGTAGAAACAGCCTAAATGCCTACCAATCCAGGAATGGATTAACAAGCTGTGGTGTATGTATACTGTAGAATACTATTCAGCCATTTAAAAGATTGAGACTTTACACCCTTTTTATTAACCTGGATGAAAGTGGAACACATTATTCTTAGTAAAGCATCACAAAAACGGAGAGGCAAAAATTCAATGTACTCAATTTTGATATGAGGATAATTAATGACCTAGTTCATGGTGGTGGGTGGGGGAAGAGGAGAGAGAGCAAAGAGAGGGAAGGAGGGAGAGGGATGGGGGAAAGGAAGAGTGGAGGGAAGGTGGCGGGAGAAGGTAAGAACAGAGAGAGGGAAGGAGGGAGGGAGGTGGGGGTCTTTGTGTGTGACACACTTTTTAGGGGGCAGGACCTAATTATAAGAGGGACTTTACCTGACAAATGCAATCAATATAACCTGGTTTCTTGTAGAAACCTCAATGAATCCTCTACAATAAAAAAAAGAAGAAAAGGGCGGTGCCTGTGGCTCAAAGGAGTAGGGCACTGGCCCCATATACTGGAGGTGGCAGGTTCAAACCCAGCCCTGGCCAAAAATCGCAAAAAAAAAAAAAAAAAAAAGAAGAGATTTTAAGAAACACTTTAACAAGAAGATGTATGAATGATAAATAAGCATGAAAAGCTACTCACATTAGTGAAAAGCAAATTAAAACCACATGAGATTCTACATCACACCCAGTAGAATGGCTAAGATAACAGAGCAATAAGCAACTGGAACCACATACATTGTTGGTGGGAGCAAAATGGTATAGTCACTTTGGAAATCAGTTTGTCTGTCTCTTACAATGCCAAAAATATACTCAGTATTTAATACCCAAATCCCACTCCTAGGTATTTACCCAAGGGAAATAAAAAATATTTATGTACTATCTACATGAAAACTTGTTCATAATGTCTATATTGAAAATAGCCACACAATTGAAAAACCCAAGTGTCCATCAGCTCTTGAATGGGTAAACTGTAGTAGTCCATACAATGGAATAATACTCAGCAATGGAAAGGAATAAACTAAATAATTCTCGGAACAACATGAGTGAATCTCAAAGCCATTATGCTAAATGAAGTAAGCTAGAAAAGTGAGGGACACAGAGGAGACTATATGCCAGGTTGCTCAACTTTCATGTTACATAATTTCACCTGTATATAACTCTGGAAAAGGCAAACTGCAGTAAGAGAAAGTATACAGTGGTTCTCTGGGACCAGAGATAGGAGGAAGGGTTTAATTAAAAAGGGGAATAAAAGAGCTTTTTGTGGTAATGAAAATGTTCTATTATATGTGTTGGTTGTGGTCTTCGTTTATGGTTGTGTACATATACATATTTGTCAGGACTCATTGAACTGGTCACTTAACATTAGTTAATTTCATTGTTTACAAATTATATCAAAATAAACTGATTAAAAATAACAAACTGTATATCATATATGAAAAAAATACTTTCTCATGTGCAAGTAATAGTTATAAAATAATCTTTCAGTTCATATTGTCTTTTCCTCCTTTGTAGGATGGTAGTCTCAATAAATACATACATTAAGAGACCCTAATCAAGTTTTTCCACTGCAAACAATATCCTCCATAATTCTTACCAAGAGCATTGAGTCCCTCTGAGATAGATGTGAGAACATACAGGAGTACAGGAGGCTCTAAGTTGGTGATGAAGCTCATGTGGTCTTGGGTGAGACATTCCAGGAGTGGATAATAAGACTGGCTCAGTTTTCGGTATTGCTACAACACAGAGATATACTAAATGTCAACCCACAGGGAAGAAAAAGACATCTTACATACAGTCCAGTAGAGACTGCCATTTGTAATATTGGAAATTGTAAACTTACTTAAACATAAGGTCAATAAATACATAGAACAAACGACATAATGAGTCCCAATCCTGCATTTAAAGGGGTTATAATAGGAATGTCTTGGTCTCTAGAAATTCTAATTTGAAGATATAGAATAGTACATTATTTTAATTTTACCTTATATGGCTAGCACTTAAATGCAAGTAAAATCCCTGCAGTATGACATTTATAGAAGACTGTGAATTATTTTTCTGGACTGGAATATTCTAATACTGAACAGTGCTTAACGGTGGTTAGGCAATCTCCTTTTTTTAGCCAGAGTCTCACTTTGTCACCCTTGGGAAAGTGCTGTGGCATCACAGCTCACAACAACCTCTAACTCCTGAGCTCAAGTGATTGATCCTCCTGCCTCAGCCTCCCAAGTAGCTGGGACTATAGGCACTTGCCACAACACCCGGCTATTTTTGAACCTGTGAGCTCAGGCAATCCACCTGCCTTGGCCTCCCAGAGTGCTGGGATTACAAGCATAACTTTTTTGTTTTTTAAACACAAAGAAATCTGCTGTTAAAATAGTATTTGGCATCATAGTTTGCTGTATTCATACAATGCCAACCTGGCTAAATGAATCATAATTTGGTAAAGGACTTAGCATATATTATAGACAAAAGATAAGTACATGAGAAATAATACGTGGAAAACCTCAAAAGCAATCCAACCAATATTAAGGAGCATGACACTCAAAAGATAAACTAGATGAGTATTTCTTAAAGTGAGGTTAAGACCACCTCCATGACACTCACTTTGGGGTGCTTGTTAAAAATGTAGTTTCTTGACACCCATTTGAGACCCACGGAATGAAAAGCTCTAGAGTGAAGCTTTGAAATGTACACCTTTAACATATATGCTAACAGAAACTCATGCACCCTCAAGTTTGAGAATTACTGAATTGGAAGTTTGATTTACTTGTAACCTTGGGGTTGAAGTAGGTGGGAAAGCCTGAACTAAGTCTGAGCATGAATCTAGGTATGTTACCCAAGTTGGGCACATATTGCCTTCTATGTAATCAGGCAGAGATGTTTTTAAAAAGTCTGATAATGATACAGGTCACTAGAGAAGTTGGAAATGTGAATTTTCAATCAACATCTCAGGTGTTTCTTAGAAGCGTCAAAATCTTAAGACTAATGACATAAATCATAGAAACTAGATGGGAGAACAGAAAGGGGACTAGAGATCACATACTTTAATCATTTTAAAAGTGAAGAAATTAAAGCCTAGAGAAACAGGTGATCAGTGAATGGCACAGAGCAGACTATATGCCAGGTTGCTCAACTTCCAGTTCAGCACAGTATCCACCACCAGAATTTTAATAAAAGGGAAGGTCAAATAGCAGGGGAAGTAGAAAGAGTAGTACAGAAGGAAGAGGACAATCCTGCAGCCAATCATGTATTTTCCGCTCCAGGAAACAGACTGTTTTTGAATTATGAGTATTGTTGTAAGCAACTAGTTGAAATTGCTAATTATATTTTCTTTATATGTAGAACCTGAAGCACTCCAGATGACCAATTTGTCAGAAGGTGGTAGCTGCAGCTTTCTAAACTGCACATTTAATTATATAAATACAGACAGTATAGTTGTCCAAATTCTCTCAGTTAAAACAAGTATACTATTTTAGAACATAAAATGTTCTGGTGCTATTCTAACTCCCTGTGCTTCATTATAATAATTCCAGGCCTGTGGTGGTGTTACTTCGCATTTCACACAAAGACTCCAGGTTTCATGATTGCTTACTAGCAAGTCACTGTGGGACACTGACAGCAGCATTTTGACAAAGGCCTGGAGTACATTGTCAAAATGGTTGTCCCCATACAACTTGAAGACGCCAAAGCTGACATAATTTCCACACAAGGCAGATTTGAGAGCTGAATAGCAGATGGAGATGCCCTTGAGTTTCATTGGATAAATCTGATCTTTTGAGAAGCTCCCGAGGGACAGGATCTGATTACCTGTTTTAGGGTAAAAGCAGAAAGAGAAAGTGACATAAGTAGGTATCATTTAAAGAAGTTAGGGGGCACACTAACATTTTCACTTTACTGTTAATATTCATTTCCCTCAGCATTTTTCCAAGAATTGCACCATCCATTGTAATGGAAACTATAAACACATAAGGCAGTTTACCTGGAAGTACAAATGACCTAAGGAAAATAAATCAATCAAGGACATTGAAAAAAGCTCTAATTTTAATCTGCATGGTGATTACATGGATGTATATACAGATATATAAAAATTAATTCAGTTGTACTCTTAAGATCAGTTCACTTTATCTACGTATTATCCCTTCAATAAACAAAGTTTTTAAAAAGTAGGCTAAAACTAAGTCAATAAGAAAAGACAACCTGACTGAGAAGTAAACTATTCACCTATGAGCCTCACAGGATTGGTACAGGAATTAAATGAAATAAGACACATAGAAGTTCTTAGTGAAGCACACAATAAATACTACTTCCTTAGGTTCTTCTTCAGAAGATCCCAATAGATGATTGTTTTAAAACTATACTTAGATTCTATGTTGACCACCAAAGACAAAAATATTTGTAAAATAACCTTAAACTTTTCTATAGTATTTAGCACTTACAATCACCAATTTCTGTTTCTGAAAAGTGTGCCAGTAAGGTATGTTACTAGGAATGCCTGAGAATGATTTTTTAAAAAATATAAAGCAGGGCGGTGCCTGTGGCTCACTGGGTAGGGCGCCAGCTCCATATACAGAGGGTGGCGGGTTCGAACCCGGCCCCCGCCAAACTGCAACAAAAAAATAACTGGGCATTGTGGCGGGCACCTGTAGTCCCAGCTACTCGGGAGGCTGAGGCAAGAGAATTGCCTAAGCCCAGGAGTTGGAGGTTGCAGTGAGCTATGTGACTGCACGGCACTCTACTGAGGGTGATAAAGTGAGACTCTGTCTCTACAGAAAAAAAAAAAAAAAAAAAAAAATATATATATATATATATATATAGCAATACATGTTTCTTAGCTCTTCTTTTTCCTGTTCAAGTGAGTATTGGTTCTAAAAGTGAAACTAAATTCAATTTAGAAAATTTGGAGGTTCTATGCATATTGCAGTGGCTTATATGGTGAGCTATACAAATGGCTAAACATCTTTTTAAATAAACTAAGAAAGAATTAAATTTTTTAGAACCTATTTTGCTATATGGTTGTGAGCTAAAGTCAGCCAAAAGAGAAATTAGTGTGAGATCTAGAAGGTGAAAGTGAAGTAGCTGCCATGACTTTCTGAAGGTTATTGTAGTCAGAGGAAGTGAGAAGAAGATGAAGAAATGCATTCTGGGTTCCAGTTTGTCTTTGTTCTTTCCTATTCTAGAACTGCCAGTCCTGTTGACCAGTGACCCCAAGCCCACCATAAAATACTTGGCAAACTTATTAGAAAGAGCAGACATACATGAGTAACAGCCTTCCACTGACTTTTATACCACTACACCTCCTTCCTGTGCTTTCATGGTCTCACTCTAGTACCTGAATGTACGTACCTAGCATCTAGAGTTCCCTGCAAGTTCCACCTTGTCCATCTATACTATTATTTCACAGGCTGATTGGTGATTGTTTTTTTTCTTCCTGAACCTTCAATTCTCCCCTTTGGACTTATTTCTCCATCTTTACCCACGATAACACAAAGTCTAATTTCTAAAATAAATTATCCATTTTGGCTGAGCACAGTGGCTCACTCCCATAATACCAGCACTTTTGAGAGGCCCAGGCAGGAAGATCACTTGAGCAAAGAGTTCAAGAGCAGCCTGGGCAACAATGCATGATCTTGTCTCTATAAAAAACAAAAAAAATTAGCTGAGTGTTGTGGTGGGCACCTGTACTCACAGCTATTCTGGAGGCCGAAGCGGGAGGATCAAGTCTTGAGCCTGGGAGTCTGAGGTTGCAGTAAACTATGATAAGACCACTGCACTCTAGCTTGGATGTCAGAGCAAGACTCTTTCCCCACCTCCAAATTTAAAATTCCTTAAGTATCATATTTTGTTTCTCCCTGGTCTCAGTCTGTCACAAGGCCTGGAGTGCAGTGGTGAGATCTCATAGCTAACTGCAACCTTGAACTCCTGGGCTCAAGTGATCCTACCGTCTCAATCTCCTGAGTAGCTGGGACTATATGCTATTCTGCCCAACTGCTTTTTAATTTTTTTTTGTAGAGAGGAGGTCTTTCTGTTGCTTAGGCTGGTCTCAAACTCCCGGGCTCAAACAATCCTTCTACCTTGGCCTCCCAAAGTGCTAGGATTACAGGTGTGAGCCACTGTGTCCACAGTTCATTATTCTTTTTCCCTGTTTGAAGACTAATACATACATTATGGTAACCACATGTGTACCAAGGGGTTAAAAAAGTACCGACAACTAGCAAAGCATGAAATACAGGACCAGCCCAGGGTGAAAGTTTCCTGTCCTTGGTCTGTTCCGTATATATGGAATATTGCCACATACGTATTTTCCTCTATGCCAGCGGTTCTCAACCTGTGGGTCGTGACCCACAGGAACTGTATTAAAGGGCTGCGGCATTAGGAAGGTTGAGAACCACTGCTCTATGCAGTCTTAGAAGCCCATGTGGCTTTCCTTATAATTTGTACATCCAAATGACAAAACCACTGCCTGGAAGGCTGAAGCCTATCCTAGAATTTACTCAATACCAAATTCTGTACCCTCTTTCATAATCTTAACCTTACCTTTGAGAGATGGAGTAGTTCCATAAAAATTCAATTTGACAGCATTTATTTAACAGCTACTACATGTGAGATGCTGGGATAAACAAATGATAAAATAAAATTTCTGCTCTGAGGGAGTTCGGTCTGGTCAGGGAAATCTATTGGTAAATAAATAATTCCATATAATGTCACAAATGCTAACAGAGAGGTATGTCAAGTTGTTATGGGAATAGAAGAGACTAATTCTGCTTGGGCAGAAGGGCAGTAGGAAGGGCTTCATAGAACAGGTTATGTCTGAAGGATAAACTGCAGTTTTCTACATGGACTTGGAAGGAGAGGAGTAAATTCTGGGTAGATTAAGTATGAAGGCAGGAAGTCTAAGAAAGAGAGAACTGTAGGACAGGACAGTTTTCAACCACTGTTTTTCTACTTTGCCTCAAATTCAATTTTAACCAAGGAAGACATTTTCCTATTTTCTCTTTCCCCCCAAAAGAATAGCACTGCACAGTTGTGATGAAAAAAGATAGGGTAACTTTGGAAGGTGGGAGGTGGTTCACACATTTTGTGTTTGTTGTGGAGGTCATGGTCAACAGGAGCAAACTTTTGGGGACTTTTTATGCTTCTGTCCTTATGGGAGAGGTAAAGAACTTATATTTTGCAGCAAAAGATGAAATAGGCAGACCAAGAACTGAAAAAATATTTGTAAAGGAATGGATAATCTATCATCAAGAAGCATTATTTAGAATCACAACTTTTATCTCTTTATTAAAATTGTAATATGGCATACATGTCTCGCCTTTGAACTATGTCAAATACATTAATATTAATTAATATGCTATTATGACCTTGTAAGAGTAGAATAATTAATACTTTTCAAATAGGAAACCGTATCTCATTTTGTTTGCTCAAGTGCCTCAGCATTCTATGGTGACTATAACAAAAATCTATGGAAGAGAAGGCTTTCAGATCTTCGCTCATTTCAACATGTCCAATGTGGCTTTAATCAATAGGTATTATTCAATAACACTTACTGAAATTGGAGACCCTGTCCTCAAAAGGCTTAAAATCCAGGAGTTAGACTCACGTTAGTATAAATAGAAGCAAGAGGCTTGAGGTTTGCTATTTGATGTTCCTCTGTAGGTCTGATAAACTTCTTTGTCTTCCCTGTTTCACCTCACACTTAGAAAGTTCCAACTTGTTCCTTCTCAGCATTTCTTTCCTAAGAGGAAGATCTAAATTGCACTAATAGACAGCTAGGAGATGATGTCATTGCCAGCTTGGCAGCCACTGAACACAGTAACAGCTGCCACTTTGGTACTATTGTAGCAGCATAAAAGAAAAGGATACTTTCCTTAATGAAATAAAACAGACTTTCAAAGGCTATAATCAAAAGGAAAATCTCCAATTGTTTCCACTGACAACATCTGTCATAAGTGGAGAAGAGGAAAAGAGGTACTGTTACATCCTGAATATTAGATGTGGGTAAAATGGATGCTAAAGCTATGTTGGGGTTCAGGGAAAAAGAATGTAGTGAACTGAATGACTAACCAGGTCAAAGGCAATAATGAGGGAATGGAGGCACAATAGAGGCCACATAGTAACGTAACTGCTATTCTTACTCAGGTACTCGTTGTAGAGTATAAGAAATCTCATTAAATAATAAAGAAGAACTGGGAAATAAGCACAGAGGACTCCTGAGCTTGATAATCTGGCTTATGAGAAATATTTTCCTCATTACTAGCTTATATTAACTGGTTAGGTTCCACCTTCTTTACCTCTAACTTTATGGAGAGGCCTTTTTTGTTGTTGTTATTAGCCTTATTATTCAAAAGTACCAGTCACTTCATACTGGTCAAGGGAACAATACAAGAAGAGGACATCTCAATTCTAAATATTTATGCAGGCCAGGCACGGTAGCTCATGCCTGTAATCTGAGCACTCTGGGAGGCCAAGGCAGGCGGATTGTCTGAGCTCATAGGTTTAAGACCAACCTGAGCAAGTGCAAGATCCTGTCTCTAAAAAATAGGTGGCTGTTGTGGTGGGCGCCTGTAGTCCCAGCTACTTGGGATGCTGAGACAAGAGAATCACTTGAGCCCAGGAGTTAGAGGTTGCTGTGAGCTATGATGCCATAGTACTCTACTGAGGGTAAAGTCAGACTCTGTCTCAAAAGAAAAAAAAAATTTATGCACCCAACTTAAAAGCTCCCAGATTTATGAAACAGACCTTGATTGTTCTGAGCAATATGATATCCTATATCACCATAATTGTTGGGGACTTTAACACCCTATCTAACA